GGGCGGCTGGAAGGAACCAGAATCTGGCAGTGGGGCTAGGATGGACCTGGGTTGGACTTGGAGCCTCCTCTAATCCACCCTTCCCTAGATTCCAGAGCAAAGTCAGGGGCCACTCACTACTCTCCTCCTCTCCAACCACAGGGATCACCAGGCCGAGCCTGGCGGCCAAGGGCTCCAGGCGCAAGCGCAGGAGAAGCCCTGAGGGCTCCCCTGGCAGTAGCTACCAAGAAAACGGACACAGAGAAGCGAAGGTGAGGAGACGACCATCCCCAGTTAAGGGGAGACCAAAGGACAAGCACGACCCCAGCAGAGCAGGATGTCCGTGCAGAGCAGGTAGGTTTCTGGGCTGGGCCTTGGCACAGGTGGGGATGATGCCGACCCTGGTGTCGGTTTCCCCGCATTGAGTCCAGCATGTGTGGGGTTGAAACCGAGGCGCTTGTTCCCTGCTTGCTCTCTGGCTTCCTGGCTCCGGGGTCCACTGTGCTCCATGGAGGCGGACGCCGTCGGGGACGGGCACCTGGGCCATCTCCTCCCCACGGGGAGATGCGGGCTGGTGGGAGGGCTGCTGACCGGCGGGGTCGCGGGCTCCCTCCTCTCTGCAAGTGTCTCGGGCCGGGGACAAGCTGGTGGGGGGGCTCCGACCAGCGGGCCGTGGGCTCCCCCTCCCCTACCTAAAGCCCCAAATAGAGGCCCTTCCTTTTGGCTTTTCGGGGAGTTTGGGATTTCAGCGTTAGCTGCCCTCTCTCCTTGCTCAGCGCTGTGCGAAAATAAAGTTCCTACTTTCTTCCACCACCCCCGGTGTCAGAGATTGGCTTGCTGCGCAACGGGTGAGCGAACTCACTTCAGGTTCAGTAACAGGGAGGTGGGTGCGGGACCTCGGTGGCAAACCGAGCACCCACGGGGAGGGGACAGACACGGGCCCTGGGGAGATGCTCCTTGAGCCCTTTCAAAAGGGCTGAGAGGAAGGCATGCAGGACTTGGCGCAGGTTCGGGTCAGATTCTGGAAGGGAACCAGAGGCTGGCATGCCTGGGAGAGCGGGATGGGGGCCAGGGGGCTGGAGTCGGGAGCAGGACCGGGAAGCGGCTCTGGGGACCTTGGCAAGGAGTCCCAGGGGCCGCGCGCACTCACCGCAACACCTCCCTTTCTCTCTCCCGCTTAGGTTCTGCCCACACCGCCCCGCAACTCAAGAACAGGAGGACCCTGCCCGGGTCTCCAGAGAGGACCGCCGGCCGCGGACGCCGCCAGGACAGGCGGGAGGCCGGGCCCGCCTCCCCAAAGTGCCGCCGCCACCTGTCGCCAGAAGCCCGCGCGCCCCTGTCGGGGCCCCTGTCCCGGCTCTTCAACCACGTGGGCGCGCTGGACGTGGCCCTGGGCGAGCTGCGGGCTCCCGGGGGCGCCTTCCTGCCGCTGCCCGCCCGCGGCCCGCAGCCGGCCGCCTCGCAGCGCGCCTGGCTCTCCTGGCAGCTGGCGCAGGCGGGGGCGACCCTGCACGGGGCGGGCGCGGCGCTCGACGCCCTGCTCGCCGCCGCTCAGCCCCGGCCCGCCTGCCCGCAGCCCTCCCTGCCGGCGGCTCCGCGGCCGTAGGGGCCGCGCCCCGAGCCCTAGCCCGCGTCCTCGCCCTTCCCCGGGCCGCTCCCGTCTGCCCCGGAGCCCGTCCAGACTCTGCCCTCCCGACTCCCCGAGCAAGGGTCCGTGGCGGCATCTTGCACACCCAGGCGACGAGCTCCCTCCCACAGCGCGACACCATCCACCTGTCTGGGAAACAGTGTTAGGCACCGACCAGACCTCCCTCCCTTCCTACCGGATCCCCGCTCAGGGAAAGGGCTCCTCCTTTCCAGAAGACAGCGAAGATGAGCGCTCAGAGGAAAACCTTTCTTCTCTTCTGGTGCCTCAGATTATCGAGAGTGACGCGATTTGTGCCTTTTCATCCCTTGATGTTTTCCTATTTAAGTTCAAAAGTAAAATGCTTGATATATGTATGTATATATATATGTGTGTGTATATATATATATATATATTTCCGCCGTGGCTTCTACTGTAAAGCACAATTGTCTTTGGTTTTTACTAGAGATTGGGTTTCTTCAAGGTGAAAGCATAGAGATATAGCTTGAGCAAATCTTCAACTGAATGAGCAATCTGGATTACATAAAGGATTTTGCAGGGGTTTTTGGTGTTGAAGTTAAAGTCACATGCTTCCTTAGTTATGGATCACTATGTTCTACATGTCCTGCAATAATTTTTTTAAGATTTCAAACCTTGGCCACTGAGAATATATAAATGTCCTCGCGAGTGTTCTTTGGTGTCCTGAATCTTTCATTCATCCTTTATTTTCATATTTCAGTCATTCCTACTTTTATTCTATGCCTCTTCATTGTTTCAACTTTAAAGAGATTTTACCTATATACCTAGAATGCACAGTGGTGTAAGTGCACGCATCAATAAAATGTTCACAAATATATACAAACCCAGGTAACCACACTCCAATCAAGGCTGAGGATGTTTCTATCGTGGTACTTTGCAATCTTTACACCACTACCCAATATCAAAACCCAGAACTTTTGTCTCTTCTTGTAAGTAATTCCTTTTGACATTTGTATTGAGCTTTGTATCTCATTATTTGATTTATTGTCCTAGTCATAACGTTTTCTACTTGCACTGCACACCACTCCTTCTTGAATCTTACTCCATCACTTACCCTTAATAACATAGAATGATATACATGGATGACATGGAAAAGGTTTCAGTGACAAGAGCCCTGGCAGTGAGAACTTTGAGAGTGGATGCCTTTTGCACAGCAAATGTGAAGGTATTTTCTCTGAGGGAATCTTATCCCTTGAAGAGAAAGGAGAAGAGTGAGGACCCTATAAAGGACGGAGGAAAAGAGTTCCATGAAGTCCCAGGAGGGCTCTCAGGAGGAGATAAGGAAGGTTTCAGATTCTTCTTTGTGAAGATTAGCGTTGGGAGGTGGCACTGGCATTTGCACAAGCATTTCCTTCTGTCTGAAATGCTATTTAAATTAACTCTTGTTCAGCTTTCAGAAATCAATTCAAATGTTCTTTCTTCAGGAAAAGTTTCATAATTTCTAAGAGTAGATTACAAGCTCTCATGGCACCATGTATCTTTTCCTCAAAGCACTTACCATAGCTATAATTTTACATTTTTTGTGTGCTCTTATTTGCACAATACTGGCCTCCTCCCCTGGATCCTAAGCTTCCTAAAGGTGGGGGCCATGTTTAAGTTTTTTCCCCATTATTGTATCCACAATGCAGGACATAGTTCCTGGCACATAGTAGATATGCAATTAAATATTTGTTGATTGAGTAATGAATTATTGAATGAATGAAGGAGAAAACATTGATATATGGGATCACACACTTTTTCCTTTTCTGGTAAAGCCTCACACAAGATCAGTTTGTAGGACATTTCCTAGAGACTATTGTAAAAAAATTCTTCATAGTCAAGAGCTAAAATGCAGGCTAATTTAGGCGACAGAGTTAGAATCTCAGGTACCTAAAATTGTATACATAGGAGAGTCAGCTGACACCAGCGGAGAAAACAGAGTTTATAAAAAGCAGAGACAATTTTTCAGGAGTTTCTTTGATATTACAATTTTTTCACTCACTTGAAAATGTCTTAACATATACAAAAACTCACATGTAAATATACAACCCACACACTGATCCTTACAATCTTTACAAAATTAATCCAAGTATAAGATTTTCTCTTTTCTTATTATCCTGGACTAGGAAATTGACTGACTCTGCCATGTGGAGAAATGATGGAACTTCTTTGGTAAACTGATACGTTCCTGGTCACCATCCCATGTCCTGTTCTCACCAACCTCCTTTATCTCCCTCATTTTCTCTTTCCTATTTCCCTCTCCTTTGCTTCCCTTCCTCCTCTGCAGTGCAGAGAATATCCTTACCCTACCTCTCCTATGCTTTTCCATCCAGTTCTTCCTCTAAATACTGTTCCCCATAAAGGCTCTCTGGGGATGACTGATCAATTACTAGAATCAAGGTGGCTTGGAGAACTGCTAAAATTTAGAACAGCATTTTGATTATGGATACATTGGAATTAGTTTGGATTTGTGAGGGAATACTGAAGCTTTTAAAGAAAGGCCTGGAGAGACTGGCCTGTCTCTCTTCTCTCAGAACTAGCTGTGAGGAGATAGAGAGCACAGAGCTATTTTTAGAAATACAAGCATTGGACCTGATTAGATGGTAATATCAGACACAATGAAAGTTAGGACTATATCTGAGGAAGACGGGAAGCAACTCTGGACACTCAAAAGATGAGGATCAAAGAATACTCTGTCAGGGACACAGGATAGGGAGCTGTGTCCCAAGTAGTTGAAGAGGAATCTCAGTTGAGCAATTATCCCTCAATTTTCGCTGAGTCCTTAGTTTTCTTTTGCTACATAACAAATTATCATTAACTTTACTGGATTAAAACAATACAAGATTATTATCTCAGAGTTTCAGCAGGTCAGAAGTCTGAGCATGGCATGGCGGAGTTCTCTGCTCAAGGTTACACAAATCTGAAATCAAGATGTTGGCTGGGCTTTTTCCTAATCTAGAGGCTCCACTAGAGAAACATATGCTTCCAAGCTCCCTCAACTTGTTAGCAGAAGATCATTTCCTGAAGTCCTTGTTGTCTTGTTAGTTGTGTTACCGAACTTGAGGTGAGTTCGCTCACCCGTTGTGCAGCAAGCCAATCTCTGACACCGGGTGTGGTGGAAGAAAGTAGGAATTTTATTTTTGCACAGTGCTGAGCAAGGAGAGAGGGCAGCTAACGCTGAAATCCCAAACTCCCCGAAAAGCTAAAAGGAAGGGTTTTTATTTGGGGTTTTAGGTAGGGGAGGGGGAGCATATGGCCTTGCTGGTTGGAGCTTTCCCACCAGCCTGTCTTCGGCCTTGAGACACTTGCAGAGAGGAGGGAGCCTGTGACCTTGCTGGTCAGCAGCTTTCCCACCAGCCTGTGTCTCTTTGCGGCGAGGAGATGATCCAGGTGCTTGTCCTTGATGGTGTCTGTCTCCATGGAGGATAGTGGATTCTGGAGCCAGGAAGCCAGAAAGTAAGCAGGGAATGAGTGTTTTGGTTTTAACCCCATATATGCTGGGTTTAATGTGGGGAAACTGATATCAGGGTCGGTATCAGTTGTAGACCAAAAAACACTCTCTGCTCCCAGAGGGCACTCTTAGGTCCTTGCCATGCCACTCCCTCCATAGCTCTGCCCACCCTTGGAATTTCTGACTTTAGGAAGGATCCACTTCCTTCTAAGGAAACACCTCATTGGGTCAGGCTCACCCAGGATCATCTTCTTTTTTATGATCTCGAAATCAACTGCTTTGGGATCTAATCATGGGAGTGATATCCCATCAAATCACAGCTTCCTCCTGCACTGAAAGAGAGGTGTACATCTCACAGAGGTGTGTACATTGCATCAAGGTGTAACACCAGGGGGTAGAGATAATGGTGGTCATATTAGAATTCTGCTTATCACAATATTTATAACACTTTGCTAGGCCCTAGAGTTGATGCCAGAAGACTAGGCAAAGCACTGTTGGGATTGTTTGAGAATAAATGGGAACCATATCACTGTGATTTGTTGCCACCCCCCAAAAAAAAGTTAGAAAAAAATTCAGTAATAGGATGGGGAGACTAGGCAGAAACTGTCCCGAGATTAGGGGGCCTAGGGAGTCTTTCTCATGAGTTCAGTGAAGAAGCACTGAGAATTGTATTGAGACGAACGATTGAGAGGACCAGGAAAGCAGGTGCAACCACTGCTGACTGAGGGATAACTAGTTCATTCCTCCTAAGTGAAATGTGCAAAATGGAGTATGTTTGACTCTGGACAAAGGAACAACGTATTTGGGACAACTTCACTAGCCTTCTGCCCCATGGTAAATTCCAGCAGGGCGAACAAATGCTATGTCTACCTGAGTCTCCACTCTTTCTGCATTACGCAGCATAGTACAGCAACCTAGTCTGCACACATTAAAAGGTCAACAAATAATTGTTAAATGAATGACGTTGAGGCATGAAATCGTGCATTGAGAAATTATTTCTGCTCCAATTCTTAATTATTTGGCTGAAATAACTCCGTCAAACCCGGGTTCGCACTGAGGGGTGATGTGTTCCTTTAACACGTGGCTTCATTTTTTTCTTATTGTTCGTATATCATAAATGAAAAGACATCACATATTTCAAAGATTAGCGTTCTCTCCCTATAAAAACAATGATATCTGCCCGATCGGGCATTTCCCCCTTTTTCCTTCCAATTTCTCTTATTATCCTGGCTGTCTGGAGTCCGCGCTGGGCATTTCGATTCCCGGCCGCTGTCTGCACTGCCTGATTCGGAAAAGCAACTCTGAATTCCATATTCAGGTGGTGCAAGCTCTGAGCGCCGGGGGTGGGGTGTCAGGCACAGCGAGGCACTCTGCAGGAGGTAACCGAGCCCACTTTCCGCCCGCTCGCATCTTACCACTCCAGGACTCTCGGAAGAACCCCCAGCGCACCCGCCTCCGAGTCCGCCGCGAGCCCGGGGTCCCTTCCGTACGGCAGAGCCTGGGTCAAGATGGCCGCGCCCTGGGCCGTTCCCAGGGGCGCCGCCATCACAGCTGCCGGACCGGCTGGGGCCGCGCTCCGGGTGGCCGCCATGTCGGCCGCCGGCTGCGATCCGATGCTGACAAAGCTGGAGATCGAGGACCTGAGGAAGAGTGCGGGAACGGCCGACGAGGTCGGGTGTCCACCGGAGATGGCCGTGTCGGAGCCCGGGGGCAGCGCGGCGGTGAGTGCGAAGATGGAGCGGGCGCAGTCGGGTGTCAGAGATGGTCTAATTGGGGGTCAGTGATTGGAGGGTTACTGTATTCTCTGAAGATAAGTGATTTGGAAATTGTTGGAGGCGATGCGGAAGGGCCTTTTGTGAGGTTAGTGTTCTGAGGCATCTGTGGGCTGAGGGATGATGAGGGGATGGTTTGTGGCGTCAGTGAGTGCTACAGGTTAAGGAAATCAGTGTTTTGAGGGATCTGCGGTGACAGTCAGGAGGGAGGAGAGTCTGGCAGTCACTGAAAGGTCAGGCTTTGAAAGGCTTGGCGGATCGGAAATTGAGGGCTTTGTAGTGTGTTAGAGATTGGAGACGTCATTGGGGGTCGGCAATTTGGGATGTCTGTGGGAGCCAGTAATTATGGGTGCCCGTGGTGGTTAGAGACGGGATTGTCGCTGTCAGTGTGCAGAGGTACGTGCGAGGAGTTCAGATAGGAGTTTATTGCAACAGTTAAAGAGAACAGATGATGATGTTTTAGAATAGGGTTGTAGCAGTGAAATGAAAAGAAATCAGTTTAATAATACATATGGAAATGAGCAAAATAGGACTTACTGATGAATTGATATGGAACAAGAGGGAAGAGAAGAATCAAGATTTACATCTAGACTTTTGGCCGGAGGAACTAGATGGTGATTCCATTTTCTGAGAAAGGGTTAGGTTGGAGAAGATGAGATTTGGTAGATGGAAATGGCAGCCAGGGTGGATGACAGTGGTTCTGTTTTGGCCATGTCAAGATTCCCATTACACATTCAAGTAGAGATGTTGAGAGCCATTAGATATATGAATGTAGAACTTAAGATGTCTGGGCTAGAGAATTCATATTTGAAAGGAATCAGCATAGAGATGGTATTTAAGGCCATAAGACTGGATGAGATCACCTAAGGAGAGAAGGTAGATAGGGAAGAGACGGGGGCCAAAGACAGAGTTCTAGATCACTCTGACATTTAGAGGTCTGGTAGAAGACAAAAGAAAAGAGAAAAAAAAAGGACAATGAGGGATAGCCGCTGAGGTAGGAGGAAACCTGTGTAAATGTGGTGTCAAAGAAGCATAGAGGGGCCGGCCCGGTGGCGCAGCGGTTAAGTGCGCACGTTCTGCTTTGGCGACCCGGGGTTCGCTGGCCCGGATCCCGGATGGACCATGGCATGCTGTGGTAGGCGTCCCACATATAAAGTAGACGAAGATGGGCATGGATGTTAACTCAGGGCCAGTGTTCCTCAAAAAAACAGAAAAAAAAAGCATAGAGAAAAAAGCTTTTCAAGATAATGGGAGCAGCCAGTTGTGTCACGTGCTCTTGTGAATCCCAGAAATATGATTATAGAGAATTTGACTTTGGCAAGATGTAGTTCAATGGTTATTTCAATGGACTAGAGCTCTTTTAGTGGAGTAACAGGGGTAAAATCTTGTTGGGATTAGTCGAAAGAATTGGAGGTAATGAAGTAGAGACAGCAAGTATAGACAACACTTACCAAGAGTTTTGCTGGTAAAGGGAGCAGAGAAATGGACATTGGATGGGACATGAGATAAAGAGAGAGTTTTCTTCAGATGAGTGATATTAAGGCAACTTTGTCAGTGGGAATGATCCAGCAGAAAGGGAGAAATAGGTGGTACAAAAGAGAAAGGTTAATTGCAGGGGTGAAGACCTTGAGAAGGCAGTTGGGGATGGGATCCAGAGCACAAGTGGAGAAACTGGCTTTAGGTAAGAGAAGGGACATTTCCATCTCAACAGAAAGGAAGACAGATGATATAGGTTTGGTAACAGTTTGGTGAATTGGTGGTATCAAGGCAAGGCAGTTCTTGTCCATTTGCATTTATTTTCTCTTTGATGTATAAGGCAAGTTCATCAGCTGAGAGTGGGAAATGAATAGATGTTGGAGAGTTCAGAGAGAAAAAGGAGAATATTTGGAATAATCATCTTGGAAAGAAGAATAGGATGCTGACAATATTGGATGCCCACTTGAGACACATTATAAATTTGAAGTGAATCCAGTCAGCACAGTTGTTTGATTTTTCTCTTGCGATGTTCAGCTGCAAAGTTGCAGGGAGAGATTAAGACAAGAGTTGGGTTTGACCAAGGTGAGACTTTGCTAGGTGAGTACAATGGAGAAGAGGGGTAAGGAAGATAAAGCGGTTTTCAATGGAGTGTGTATGGTGCTAGAACAGTGAATCCAAACAAAACAGAAGAAAAGTAAGGCTATAAGGCAGTAGAAGATTATGAAAAAGTGGTTAAGATCAATGGATCAGAGGGCTCAATGAGTTTGGAGAATTATTAGAATGGAAGTATTAGAGAAAGTGAGCTGGCAGGAAAGGAAATAATGGTTAGAGGGTAGAATGTTTGAAGTAGAGATTTTGGAGGTGGTAAATTGATGGCAAGGGCTAAGGAATGGATGGATATGAATAGGTGGCTGAGTTTGAGTGGAAGAAAAGATTGTTGGAGTCAGGAAAGAGAGAGGCCAGGGTGTTAAATGGCTCTTCTACATTGACACAGAGATAGTGCAGGAGCTGTGGTGAAGAGGAAGCTGGTGCTAAAGTTTTCAGTGAATAAGGCAGAATGGCTGTGCAGAAAAGTTAACATAACAGGCCTGAAACTACTGTCCTTAAAAAGCCCTGCTTGCAAGCTTGGCTTTTGGCTGGCATCTTAGAACTCAGATTTCAGGAGGGTTCCTCCATTCCCACAACTGATAAAAGTGGCTCCCTGTGCCTAAACTATGTAAACAATGTGGTTCATGCTGAACACCTGCTTTCCTTCTAGGACTCTTGGATTTTTGTATGGGCAGAAGGTACCCACATGAACAGCCCCTCAGAAAAACCTTAGCCACTGAGTCTCTAATGAGCTTCCCTGGTAAACAACATTTAACAAGTGTTATCACAACTCATTTCTGGAGGAATTCAGTATGTCCTGTGACTCCACTGGGAGAGGACTCTTGGATACTTGTACCTGATTTCCTCTGGACTTCACCCTCTGCACCTTTGCCCTTCACTGATTTTGCTTTGTATCCTTTCGCTGTAATAAATCATAGCTATTGGTACAACTAGCTGCCGAGTCCTGTGAGTCCTTCTAGGGATTCGTCAAACCAGAGGGCTCATGGGTTACAGTCTGGTGACACTATAAACAAGCTATGGATTTTGAAGGATCCAAGAGAAATGGTTGAAAGTAACCATTTACCTCATCTTCATGCCCTGAGGCACATGGATTATGCGGGGAGACAAACAGCTTCCACTGGGGAGTGCTGTAAGGGAGCAGGATCCTCAGGAGAAAGGTAGATTTTGGTTAAAGCAAGCAGGTGAAGGGAATGGTTAAAGAGGTTGAGGGTGTAGAGGAGTTTGCTGGCAGTGGTTAGGATTTCTGTAAAAGCCACTGTTTGAGAGTCCTGTTGGAGTCAGTGACTGGGGATTGATAAAATAAGGGATTTGGGTTACGCGGGAGGTAGAAATCGATGTGTTCTGTGGGTATCAATAGTTGAGGAATTTGTGGGAATATGTATTTGGAGTGTCTGTGGGGGCAAGTGATTGGAGAGATCTATTGCTGTTAGTGATTGGGAGGTTTGTTGAGATCAGCCATTTTGGAATTATAGGCTCAGTGATTGGGAGGGCAGTGACAATCAATGATGGGGGTTATTAGGAGTCAGTAACTGGATGTTTGTGAGGTTAGAGATTGGTGACATATGCAATTAATTGATTGGTGTTGTGTGGAAGGAAGGGGTTATCTTTAAATGTTACAAAACATGTGTGAATGTATAATTTTCCCATAGCTGTATCATTCTCCTCTCACTTGCCTAGTAAGAGGAAAACTTTAACATGCTTCAATTTCTCCCCTATCCCCAACCCCTACCAGTTATATTCCTGCTTATTTTTCTTTCATCATACATCTTGATTTTAAGGATACTTTTATAGCAATTGCACAGGAACATTATCAAGTTATTTAGATATAGCTAGACATTTTACTGGTTTTACTATTCATAGCTCTCTCTTGTATATTATTCTTTCCCAATCTTAAAATCTTGATTATGATCCAATTGTCCTTCTTTTAAAAATCATTCCTTTTCTTCCTCTCCCCACCCCCCAGTGTCTCCCTGCCTCTCTCCTCCTCTTTATTTTTAAAGTACATAGGTAATATACTTTCTGCATCCTTATATACCTAAAATACCTTACTTTCTTCCAAACATAAATGATTTTTTGACTGGTTATAAAATCAAGGGTCTCAATTCTTCTACCTCAGAACTCTAAAACGCTAGTCCATAGTCTTCTGTTATAGAAGAAAAGATAAAGATGATTCTGTTTCTTTCTTTCTTTGTTTATTTTTTGGTTACTTGTCTTTTTGATATTTGTATGATTTTTTTTTCATCCTCTTGAATAAACAAATTCACAGTAGGGACTGTCTTAGTCAGTTTGGGCTGCTACAACTAAGTACCATAAACTGAGTGGCTTATAAACCACAGAAATTTATTTCTGACAGTTCTAGAGGCTGGAAGTCTGAGATCAGGGTGCCAGCTTGGTCAGATTCTGGTGAGACCCTCTTCCAGGTTGCAGACTTCTTGTTGTATCCTCACTTGTCAGAAAGAGCAGAGAGAGGAAACAAGCTCTCTGTTGATTCTGATAAGGGCACTAATCTCATTCATGAAGACTCCACCCTCATGACATCATTTAATCTAATTACCTCCCAAAGGCCCTATCTCCTAATATGATCACACTGAAGGAGAGAGTTTCAACATATGAATTTTGGGACGACACAAACATTCAGTCCCTAACGGGGACATTTCTTAATATGACTTTTGTTTCTCAAAAAAGACAATGCAAAATTGGGTAGAGAATAGGTATCCTATACAATATCATGATCAACAGTGAATGGTCAAGGTAAGAAGAAGTCATTAATATCCTGTCCAAATCACTCACTAATATGGATAACATTAGACTGAATAGGAATATGTTATTACAGGGATCAGTAACATTCAAAGATGTGACTATGGCCTTTACCCAGAAGGAATGGGAGCAACTGGATCCTGCTCAGAGGAACCTGTACAAGGATGTGATGCTGGAGAACTACAGCAGCCTTGCTTCAATGGGTAAGGACCGTTCCTTCATAATTCAAAATGTGTCCACTGTGATACCTTCTCTCTGAAGTCTGGATTTTTATAGATCAAAGAGTTTTAGTCCCTTTTGGGTACTAGACAGGATACTTGTGCCCCTGCCTCAACAAAGGAAGTTCTACTCAGATGAGGCACATGGGCATCTGTATTATGAAATTTCGGAAACCATGTATTTCTTATCCTTTTAAGGCTCTAAAGCTCAAATGTTAGGGCTTTATTTCTGGGATGGCTGTTGTTATACATCAATTTCTGCCCTTTCTCATGAGCAGGGTATCAAGCTGCCAAACCGGACATGATCTCCAAGTTGGAAAAAGGAGAAGAGCCATGGTTGGGGAAGGGGAAAAGACCCAGTCAAGGTGGTCCGAGTGAAATAGCAAGACCCAAGCAAATAGGAGCCCATGGAAGTAAGTTCCTAGTTTCTTGGTGGTAACTTTGGAATTCTTCAAAGAATAATTTATTCTTACATTCTTCTTAAAGATCCCAGATCTTTCTTTCTTAACCAGAAAGTAGCAGTAGAAAAATATCAGAATCTCCTGGGGGAAGAGGAGTTTAAACTACAAAGATTCTCTAACCTTAGAGATTGTAATATCTCATCCTTCTATGAACTGGTCCACGTGAGAGATTCTCATATGAAGTTACTATAGTTGTAAGCCAGTGTTATGTATGAGACTTTGCTTCTATCACTTCTATCAGTCAGCTTAGGCTAAGTTATGCTCCAGTAAATGATGACCCCAAAATCTTAGCAGCTTACAACAGGAAAGAGTTGTTTCTTGCTCAAGCTACAGCCCTATTCCACATTATGTTGTGGACCTACAATGAAGGAGCAGTCCCTATCTGGCAAATTCTGATCTCATGGCAGAGGGAAAGAAGAGTGAGTGGAACCACATGATGACTCTCAAAATCACTGAATGGAAGTGCTGGATATCTCTTTCTGTCATTTTGTTGGTTAGAGCAGATCACCTGGTCACTCCTGAGTTCAACAGGGTATGAATGTATAATCCTTCCACAGGGAATAGTAATACAGTCTGCCACATCACTCAGGTTGTGGTGGGGAAAATGGTGAAGACCAGGCCTCTAAACCTTTGGTACAGCCCTTCAGATGCCTAACTGACCCGTCCATATACTGTCTTTCCTCATCCGTGTTCTCTACTGCTCAGCTTTCAGAAGGAGCATTGATCTCTCTTAGCTGTTCTCTGAATCCCAGCAGTGCGTTTTAAAATTATCCTCCTTTTTCCTAATATCCTCAGTTTTTCTCCCTTCCTCTACCCACACTCTGAGACCCCATGGTATCAAATTTCTCTCCTTATATATTCAGACATTCTTAGATATGTCCTCTTTCCACATCTGTTGGCATGATGCTCCTGCCCCTAATTACTTTGCATTTCTCTCCTTTCACTGTGAAATGCTCTAGACTTGTGGTTGTATACCACAGTGCATCATCATTTCCATTTTCTCCTTAACCCTTGCAGGCGAATCCCACAGAATTCATGCCTCTATCTAAATTTCTGACTTTAAAGAGACTACTGCTTACCTTCCAATGCATATTTTAATAGTTTTGATCAGCCTGAAATTCTTGCTCACGCAGCTTGACTTATACCATTTGAATCTGATCTTATCCTCTAAGTGTTTCTTTACCCTTTATTTCACCAGATTCTCTTCCTTCTCACTTTGCTGAAGTGTCCCTAAGGTTTTATCTTCTGCTATCTGTTCTTTTTTTTCCATTATATTTCCCTCAAATGAATCATCCATTATGTAAATACAAACTATTTATTCTACACTGGTGACTTCCAAGATAAATTTACCTTGTCCAGATAAATCTCCAATTCCTTTGTCTTGCACTCATATTTTAATTGCTTATAGGATAGCTCATTGTCAGTGTCAGAAATTGAAAACTCTATCTTTTTTTCTAAATTAGAGCTTCCTTTCACCTTTGTTATTTTTATCAGGGTCTACTCTGATTTAGACCTGTCTACCATGGAGTTCTGTGAATCTTTGCTTTCTGCTTTCTCTCTTGCTATCCTCTCCTCAGTTCCTGGTTTGTTTGTTTGTTTTCCTCATTTCTCACTGACATCATCCAAATCAAGTTCGTATTATCTCATACCTAAATTGCTCCAATTCTTAGGTGGATTTGTTTAGTCGTTTTTTTAAATAACTCATCTTAGATGTTGCCACCAACCATTAATATATTCAGCTATTATTTAAGTCACTATAGTTCCCAAATTAGCAGAATGTCCACAATATCTTTTTAAGTTTCCTCTGACCCTGAATTTTCCAAGACTCCATGACTTTCTGAGACCAGAGGGAAAGTCCTTCAAATGACAAATGACAAGACCTTATGGAGTTTTTGATCTATTCATCAGTGGCTCCAGTGTTGGCTCTCTTTACTTTTTGCACTGATACTTGGTGCTACAAGTGAAAAGTAATCCTGAGTCATTTAATACATCTTTGTCATTGCTACTGTGACTCTCTTCTTGGTTCAGGTTCTTATATAGTACTTGGAGATTCTGCAAGGATGGACTGTTCTGTTCCCTCCAATGATTTTCTGGGTCTAGTGAGCTCCATACTTCAGTTTCTAAAGTTATAGTTATTTTAGCTTAAAATTCATGTTTTATTTACTGTCTCAGATTCAAGACAAGCTTACAGCTTTAATCATATGCTCTGCCAGACCCACCTCTCCCTTGGTATTACTCTGTTATTATACCAATTCACTAGTTCAGATTCTCGTCCCTTCACTCATGGTAAATTTCTCTTGTAGTGCTTTATATGTTTTTCTACTGGCCAATGTCAGTTGGAACCAGCCCAAACCATCATTATAAGAGGTTCTTATAGTGTTTCGCTACCAAGGAAAAGGTTTGAGTTTTGATCCCTTTCTTCCGAGAAGGAAATTTGCCTCCCCAGCATCCTTGGCTATTGGAAGATTCTGCTTTTGCTATGCTACATAAAAGTCTTGTTATACTCATTCTCCCAGGATGTTTGTATCACTTAAAATTTTCTAAACGAAAAAGCAGCTAGCAACTTCCCTTCTCCCTACTGTATCTGTACCATTACTATATCTATACTTACAAAACTTGATCTTCTACTCCATGGGAACTAATCTCTTAAAGTCCTCCATAGAAATAACATTATTTCTGGGGGCTAGCTCTGTGACCAAGTGGTTAAGTTCACACACTCTGCTTTGGCGGCCCAGGGTTTTGCCGGTTCAGATCCCGGGCGCGGACACAGCACTACTCTTCAAGCTGTGCTGAGGCGGCATCCCACAAAGCAGAGCCAGAAGGACCTGCAATTATAATATACAACTATGTACTGGGGGGCTTTGGGGAGAAAGAAAACAAAAAAGAAGATTGGCAATGATATTAGCTCAGGTGCCAATCTTAGAAAAAAAATAACAGTATTTCCTGGGGCCAGCCCAGTGGTGTAGTGGTTAAATTTGTGCACTCCGCTTTGGCAGCCCGGGGTTCATGGGTTCAGATCCTGGGTACGGACCTACACACCACTCATCAAGCCTGCTGTGGTAGAATCCTACCTCCAAAATAGAGGAAGATTGGCAGAGATGTTAGGTCAGAAACAATTTTCCTCAAGGCGAAAAAGGAAGATTGGCAACAGATGTTAGCTCAGGGCCAATTTTTCTCACCCAAATAATAAGTAACAGTATTTCCTGGCTGTATATTCAAATACCATAGCTCTTTTCTGTTTGATCCTAGTTTTCACTTTATCCACATAATGCTTCATTATGAACAAGGTGACTGTTCACTCTCTATATCTTTCTGAGGTTATGAGCTGAGCTTTCTGAGGTCTGAGCTCTTACATATGCTTCTCTCTTTGAGTCTTTGTGGATTCTCACCATGAAGATTTTTCTGCTTTTCCGTGCACATAGTTGGAAAAGGCCACCCCAAAATTGTATTCCCAGCTCTTACGCTTTTAGGTTTTTATACATGTGATAGCCATATCTAGTTAAAAGTAGTCTTTGGGTTTCTATTCTAAATTCTTAGGCGTGAGAATATTATTGGACTACCTGGGGCTCCATGTTTACCACTGTCCAATTGGTTGTTTTCAACCAGAGGTTGGATCGTGTAGTACAAACATGGCTGCCCACATCTGTGAGTGGGGGTGGTGGTCTCGGGGAAGGGAAGCCTGCATTGAGAAGATACGTTAAAATGTATAATTGTGTAATGTGTGGAGGAAAGAATGTGAACAATTACTTAGAGCTGGGAATAAGCTTAAAATTTATTACAGGCAATTAGTAGAATGACCTAGCAGAAACAAAGGTGTGCTCCACAGCAAATTGTTGGAAAACAAGTATGTGTGTACACTGTAAATCCAAATGGTGTAAAGCTGTTTGTCAATCTCATTACTGTGAATTTCATCATATGGTAAAAGCATCAGGGAACTCAGAGAAACTGTAGTTTTTTTAGTACAAGAATGTCATTATATTGATCATGGGTGGCAGCAGTGCAACACCCTTTCCTGCTTATTCCCTCAGTCACCTATAAGCTGTTCTGTACTCCTTGATGGACTTACCTTATTCTTTCTATTTTGGCTCTTTGGGGTGCAATAACAAAAATTTACTTGAGCTAGCCTAAGTAAATAGAGGAATTTATTATGAGGCCGTGGGTATATCTCTTGTAACCTAAGGGTAGATACTTCAGTCAGACCTTACCAGGGATTAGTACCAGGAACTGGGAAGCCATTAGGAATTAGGATTGTGCAAATGGTCTCTTTGAGGACACATGATCTTACATCTCTGCTTCTCTGTGTATATATGCTTCATTCTTCATACTGATTAACTTTCTGTTGAACACAGGGAAAAAAGGCTTCACTAGTACTTGTCTAATAGAATTTTTTAAATTTAAGCATCCAGTGGAGACTAACTAGAGTCTAAATTTTTAGAGGAAGACTCTTGTTGGACATCTTGGCTTTTGCCAGATGTCTCCATCTGTGACTGTGGAGAGTTGGATTAATACGGTGCAGGCTGTAGGAGCCAAGTACTATGGGTTGATTGTCAGTCATCAAAGCTGTGCACCTTGGGCTAAGGAGAGACCTCAAAAAATGTCATCTACAATCAAAAGCTCTTTGAACTTCATCTGTTCTGTCTTCTCTGCTCGTGTTATTTCATCTTCTATCCCAGGTTGCAAAGTCATATTAATAAATAGCCAAAGCTTTTTCTAATCACTGTTATCAATTTTCTTTTCTTGTTTTTTACTATGGCACTTTCGCCCTCAAGTGTAAGAGAATAGGGACATTTGTGCTTGATAGGTCATTCATTTTGGGATACTAGGCTTGAATAAAGATTCAACCCCACAACAGGGCATTTCTTTATGAATTGTATTCCAAATACAAGAGTGCAAAGATTCACAAGAATGTCTCATTGAATTCCGTTTTAGAAGTCCAGCAAGATGATGACCAGCTAGAGAATCACCAGGAATCTCAAAACAAACTCCTTAGGGAAGTTGCATTTAAGAAAAGAACTCTGACTAAGAAGAAAGGCCATGAATGTAGTTCATTGGGGGAAAAAAATGTGAGTACAAAACATCCTCCTTCAAAAAAAAAGCTTCTTAAATTTGAGTCACATGGTAAAAGTTTGAAACAGAATTTAGATTTACCTGATCATAGAAGAAACTATGTAAAAAAGAAACCTGATGTAGCTAAAGAGCAGAGGAAATCATTCAGCCATAGCTTATCTGATACAAAGAAAGAAAAAAATCAAACTGGAAAGAAACATGAGAAATTATCCAACCAAAACCCTTCTAATAAGCATGACAAAACTCAAACTGGTAAGAAACGTGAGAAATTAGTTCATTCCATACACAGCTCTTCCCATACTAAATGGGACAAAATTCAAACTGGAGAGAAACATGAGAAATCATCCAGCCATAGTTTATCTCCTACTAAGCATGAAAAAACCCAAGCTAAAGTGAAACCCTATGAATGTAATCAGTGTGGGAAGGTTCTCAGCCATAAACAAGGACTCGTTGACCATCAGAGAATTCATACTGGGGAGAAACCGTATGAATGTAATGAATGTGGGATAGCTTTTAGCCAAAAGTCACACCTTGTTGTACATCAGAGAACTCACACTGGAGAAAAACCATATGAATGTATTCAGTGTGGCAAAGCCCACAGTCATAAACATGCCCTCACTGACCATCTAAGAGTTCATACTGGGGAAAAGCCCTATGAATGTACTGAATGTGGGAAAACCTTCAGACACAGTTCAAACCTTATTCAACATGTGAGATCTCATACAGGTGAGAAGCCCTATGAATGTAAGGAATGTGGAAAATCCTTTAGGTATAATTCATCTCTTACTGAACATGTGAGAACTCATACAGGTGAAATACCATATGAATGTAATGAATGTGGAAAAGCCTTTAAGTATAGCTCATCTCTTACTAAACATATGAAAATTCATACAGGTGAAAAACCCTTTGAATGCAATGAATGTGGGAAAGCTTTCAACAAGAAGTCACACCTCATTATACATCAAAGAACTCATACTAAGGAGAAACCCTATAAATGTAATGAATGTGGAAAAGCCTTTGGACATAGCTCATCTCTTACTTACCACATGAGAACTCATACAGGTGAAAGTCCCTTTGAATGTAATCAATGTGGGAAGGCCTTCAAACAAATTGAAGGCCTTACTCAACATCAGAGAATTCATACTGGGGAGAAACCCTATGAATGCATTGAATGTGGGAAAGCCTTTAGCCAAAAGTCACACCTCATTGTACATGAGAGAACTCATACTGGGGAGAAACCCTATGAATGTAACGAATGTGGAAAAGCCTTCAATGCAAAGTCACAACTTGTTATACATCAAAGATCCCACACTGGAGAGAAACCCTATGAATGTAATGAATGTGGGAAAGCCTTCAAACAAAATGCATCCCTTACCAAACATGTGAAAACTCATTTAGAAGTGAAATCTCCTGAATGAAATGGATGTGGGAAATCTTTTGAATGAACTGAAGGTTGTATTTTACCTTAGAAGTCTTCTGAATTTCAAGAATGTTAGAAGGCCTTTAATAAGAAGTTCCAGCACGTTACACATGAGAGAATTTGAAAGTGAAGCTTCACATAGAAGCAATAGATGGAGAATTTAAACTTGATACCAAACCTTCTATGGAAAATATTGTTTTCTAAATCTCAATTATTATAAATGATGTATGTGTTCAGATTGAAATATAAAGCTTTTAAAATTGTTAATAAGTTGAATAATCAGAGCAATAGAGAAAACAAATTACATATGCTAAGAATTCCTGAGTTGCTTGAGTGTTGTGTACTTAAGCACCACACATGAGAACTGAATTTGCATATCTGCTTATTGCCATATATAAATGTGTGTGGCCATTGGTATGGGTCTCATATTTGATATTATCACCCAGCTCTTTCTTAATGTCTCTGTTAGCTTCTGCATCAGTAGAAAACTTTAAAAAAGAGTTATTATTGGTGCCAGTCCCATGGCCAAGTGGTTGGGTTCATGAGCTCTGCTGTGGTGGCCCAGGGTTTCGTTGGTTGGAATCCTGGGCGTGGACATGGCACTGCTCATCAAGCCACGCTGAGGTGGCATCCCACATGCCACAACTGGAAGGACCCACAACTAAGAATATGCAACTATGTACCCTGGGGGCTTTGGCAAGAAAAAGGAAAAAAAATAAAAAACAAAACACAGATGTATTATTTAAAAAAAAAGAGTTAGTATTTACGTAAAAAATGTTAACACAAAGCTAAGAGAAAATGAAAGAAAGCAGCTGAAGATACACAGGTACTGGTAGGGAATGATGTGCGAGATAAATTGTTAGGTGAAAAAAGCAGGTTGCTGAACTGTGTATATAGTATGTTCCTACTTGTGTACAAAATGGTGTATGTGTTTGACTATCTTATTCTGTCTGTGTATATGTATGTATGTATGTGTGTATGTATGTGTGTAGATATATATATGTATATAAATATTTGTATGTGAATAGACTTGGTTTGAATAAATACAGAAGGAATTTAATAGTGGTTGCCATTGGGCACAGGAGTACAGGAATAGGGTCTAGGATTGGAAATAGACCAACTTTTTATTGTATACTGTTTCAGTTTTTTTATCATGTACATATATTATTGTCACAAGTAAAATTCTTTTAATATGCATAATTCAACACTAATTAAAATTTTCACTGAGCCCACTCCATGATGTTGTTTGACAAAGTAGAAGTTTCTGTGCCTATTCATGAATGATGATGAATCTGAGGATATGGTATTAAACTTGATACTGAATTCACAGAGACTTCTCCTATCCAGCACAAGTTCTTTCATTGAAATAATAAAATATAGTTGTAAATAATGAATTACAACTATAACTATAACTCAGCAGTGTTTGCCCTTTTTTGAAAGACTGAAAATGAATTGTGATTGAAGGTGAGTGAAAGTGATTTTCTGAAAAATCATCCCATTTTGTCTCCTATTCAAAGCACTTATACACAAACACCTCATTCTGGGATTTCAAATGTATTGCTACAAATGCCACTACTCCTTGTTCTTGCCCAATTAGCAGACATTGTTAATAAATCTCTGCAGTCTTTCTGAGTGAATCTAGACTTGTCCTCAGAATCATTCTTAAGTATGCATTCTGGAAGGTATTATGAATCCATTTGGGCTTGCACAGGAGACCTATTTTCTGCTGCATACCAAGATTTTTTTTACTCATGAGTCATAGATAAAAAATACAGCTGAACTGTTTTAAAATTTAAGTTGTTATGCTAAAAACAATGATGTTAAGGACAGAAGTGGTTTTCTAATATAAAGTAATAATAATATTTGGCATGTATGTCACCTTTTACATTTTTCACAGCACATTGACTACATTACTTCATTTGTTCCTCAGAACAAACATATGAGTCAATAAGCAAGACTTGCCTAGTCATCAGCAATTCTGCTCAATAAATATTTCACCTAAATATTAGTCTAGCATAATGATGGGCCTTCAACAAATACATAATTCAATGCCATCCTTGCAAATATTTCCCATTCAAGTTCCTTCCTTCCTGACCTCCTCATTTCAGAGAATTAAAAGGTATAAATATTGAGAATGGAATTTGTGTGTGTGTGTGCATGTGTTGAAGGATCAACTCATGGATATTATGACCTCATTTCCAAATAAATTATTTACATTCAGAGGAAGAAAATGCAATGTGAAAGCCATTTCCACTAGTAATTTATTACCAAGTGGAAATCTTGCACTGTGCACAGAATGAATCATCATTGTCTGGAACTATAGATAATCTGCACTTTTTAGAAGGATAAAACAATTGCAGGCTATGGCTAGGTTAAATTTACAACACCTCTTGGAGAACCCATAACAGTACCATACATGGACAGTCAGGAATATAGTTATTACTGAACAGTAGAAATGAATGCTGAAAGCCATCCTGTGCAGTAAACAATGAATTAAAGTTAGCATCAATGAATGAAGAAATGATGTCTAAAAGTGATCAGAGGTGAACAATAAAAGACAACAGACATAGAGAGGTGAGTCTAAATCAATGATACCCAAACGTTAGCATGCATCACAATTGCCTGGAGGGCTTGTTAAAACACAGACTTTAGAAATGGGCCCCACCCACAGAGTTTCTGATTTCAGTCAGTCTGTGGTGGGGCCTGAGAATTTGAATTTTTAATATGTTCTCAGAGAATGCTGCTGCTGCTGCTCTGTGGACCACACTTTGAGAGTTACTGATTTATATCATTGTTTAAGTAAAATTTTAAAATAGTTTTAAATGTTTCTGAGATATTTCTTTAATATAAGGAAGATAAAGGGACATATACCATAAAGTAAATGGTTAACAGCTTTTAAACATTTATTTATTCAAGTAATATTCATCATCTCCTATATGCTGGGCACTATTCTAAGTCCTAGAGATACAGTAGTCAACAAAACAAGAAGGAAAAAAACCTTGCCATACAGTTTAATTCTAGAGTGGCAGACAGACAATAAACAAATAAGTAATTAAAATACAGAGTATGACTGATGGTGATAAGTGGTACAGCAAAACACAAAGCAGGGAAGGGGAATGGAAGTGTAGAGGAACGCGGTTTTATATGGTCATGGTGGTGGTGAAGTAAGCTCAAGCTCACTTAGATGGTGACACAAGCAGACTTGAAGAGAGTGAGGGAGAAAGTCATGTATAATATACGAGGGAAGAGCATTCCAGGCATACATCTTTTAGAATCTAAGGGTGTGGGAAAAGAGAGAAAGATGCTGAACTCCTCTGAGATAATGAAGAAGAAAAATAGGAAATTTTAAAAATTAAATCAAGATTTAAAAAGTACTAGGTTTGCAAGAGAGGCAGAAATCAAGATCTCTCATACATCGCTTTTGGTCATCAAGGTTGTACAACGTATTAAAATGTATATCTGACAGTCTATATCAAAGCCTTAAAATGTCTCCCATCATACTTCCAGTAATTTAGTCTGTGATGCATAATCAATGTGTACTACAATATTTGTCATAGAACACAGAGAAGTTGGATATAAGATAAATTGCTAGTTAATTGATTAAATAAAGCATGATACCCTCATAGAATGGAATACTATGACATTCAAAGTCATGTTTTCAAATTATAGTTAAGAAGACACAAATGGTGATCACGTATTATTCTCAGTTAGGACTGATGCATCTCTAGGCATCAATTAAGTGATCAACTAATGAAGAAAAGCAAAGTTTTTCACAAAATCTCGCTGCTAGCAGACTTTAGCTAACATCTTGACTAGAAATGAGTCACATGACTATTTTAAGAGAGCCTTAAAAACTTGGGATCTTTGGCTTCTTAACCTTCATAATAAGGAAGGAAGGACAAGGGCATTAGAAAATGGGTGTCGAGCCAAACAATCTATAACATCTGAAATAATAATTAAGTAAAAAACATCAGGTTACAAAGTGATACATACATTAAGATCTTAATTTAAAAATATTTATCATGTTTATACACACAAATACATGTGCTGGAAAATGCATAATATTGCCATCATTATGTGACAGCGGTTCTTTCAGGATTGTACGAGTAAGTTTTATGTTTTTCTAAGTAATTTTTATATTTTCATGAATTAATTTTATTTTGTTATAATGGGTCTCCATTTTCGGTATGGCCAAGTAGATTCTTACTAAACCTGACCCTCCCACAGATAACAATTATAAACTCTGGACAACACACATACACACATACAACGATGACCTAAAGGTACTGGAGAGTGAACAAAAACGGATATGGAAAGGAGTTGAAACTTGAAAGAAGGGAATGGTAGGAGGTTTGATCACATTTTTATGGCTCTTAGCCTGAGGAAATACTGAAGTTGGTGTGGCAGGGGGATAATTTGATAGAAAACATGCAGTATTTTTGACATGAAAAACCATAGGACTGAGTTTAGGGGAACCACAACTCCTGGGAAGTGGAGGCAAGAATCCTAGAAGAGAGAGACTCAAAGAGGGGGCAACCCAAATTCTGTGAGTAAACTCTGCTCAAGTCTCTGGCTGACCCCAGAACCACACATGTATGTTATGGACTCCTAACCCTTCAACTAAAGACAAAAGATCTGAGCTTTCATTTGTGCTGCTGCCTCAGAGACAGAGTTTGAAGTTCAAATTCAACCATACTAATTAATTGATAAAACAAAACATTAACACTCTTCAGAGAAATATATCAGAATCCAGAATCTCCATAACTTATCATTCATGATATCTAGGATACAAGAAAAACTTACTTGACGTTCAAAGAATTGGGGAAACATGACCCCATTTCAAGAAAACAGACAACCAACCCAGAAATTGGAATAAGCAGAGGAAGATATTAATATAACTATTATAACTATGCTTAATGAAATAAAGAAAAATATGCTCACAGTGAAGGTAAGGATTTAAACCCAGCAAAGAAATAGAAACTACAAAGAAAAACCAAAAGAAAATTCTAAAACTTAAAGATATGTCTGAAATTTAAAATTCACTGGATAAGTTTACTAACAAAATGTAAAGGACAGAGGAAAAGTCACTGAACTTTTTTTTTTTTGAGGAAGATTAGCCCTGAGCTAAATGCTGCCAATCTTCCTCTTTTTGCTGAGGAAGACTGGCCCTGAGCTAACATCCATGCTCATCTTCCTCTACTTTATATGTGGGACACCTACCACAGCATGGCATGCCAAGTGATGCCATGTCCACACCCAGGATCTGAACTGGTGAACCCTGGGTCACCAAAGTGGAATGTGCAAACTTAACCGCTGCACCACTGGGCTGGCCCCAGAGTCACTGAACTTGAAATAGATTAGTAGATATGACCCAAACAAGTGAGAAGAAAAAATGATTAAAAAGACATTAATAGAAATTCAGTGACCTGTGGGATGATAATAAAATGTCTTGCATATGTGTAGTTAAAGTTCCAAAAGAAGAGCAAGGAGAAAATGGGACACACAGAATATTCAAAGATATTGTGGCTGAAATTTCTCCAAATTTTGTGAATGATATAAATGTACTGATTTGAGAATCTCAG